TGTTCAAATCCTTATGGTTTAAGTTTTATTTATTTTTATATACTTTAGACTAGGTTAAAATATCAATTTGGTCCCTTAACATATAGATTTGTATTACAATCATTTTTTAACTTTAAAAAATATTAAAATTATCTTTAAACTTTAATTTTTGATACTAAAATAGTTCTTCTGTTAATAAGAATACCACATAACTCTTTATCTTACTACAAAATTAGTTCTTTTCTAAAATACTAATGATGTATAAAATCAAACAGCTACTTTTTACCTTCATAACATATTCCAATTAATATCAAATTAAAATATAATTAAAGTTGAAAGACTAAATTTGTATTTATAATCAAAATTCAAGAACTAAGTTGATACTTATCTTTAAAGTTTAAGAAATAAGTTGGATCTTATCTTTAAATTTTAAGGACTATTTTAGTATTAAAAATTAAAAATTTAGGATAATTTTAGTATTTTTTAAAGTTGAAGGATAGTTTCAATACAAATTTAAAAATTGAGAGAATAAATTAGTATTTTAACATTTAGATTATAAAGATTGTTCGCCTTTCAAATGACTAGTGTTCGAATCCTTAAGATTTAAGTTTTATTTATTTTTATATGATTTAGATTATAAAAATATATTTACAAATATAATATAGTTATAATACTATATGATATTGTAAATTTATAATATGATATGTCATTATATAATTAGTTTTTTTCACTTAGGATCCATCCGTAATATTGTTTGAAAAAATGATTAGTACACCTTTTATTTTAACACACATTTCAATATTTATTTCGTTTAGTCATTAAAATATAATATAAATATAATCGATTTAACCAGTTCATATATACTATATGTGTCTTTTGGTATGCTTTTTCTTTTTCTCTACTTAAATGTGAGATTCCTAAACTTTTAAATTTAAATAATTTTAATTTTTGAATTAGTGTTTATATTTTTTTTTTCTTTCATAAATCTTCTTTTATTATCAGTTAAATCTATACAATTGGTAGTTTTTTGTTCCTAAATTTTTATTTTTTACACATTTTTAGTTCCTAAATAAATATTTATTGTACATTTTTAATTTATAAGCTTTTGTTTTATTTACATTCATGTCATTAAAAGAAACTAAAAAAGTAACTAGATAAACTTAATGTACAAAATTAATGGAATAACATAAAAAAAATATACATTTTCAATATAAGGACGAAAAAGTGAAAAAAATAATTTAAAAACTAAATTTGATATTTAACTTGTTTTTCTTTTTCCTAGAAAGTTGTTTATCAAAAATTAATTCTTTTGACTAGAAATTAGGAATTTGATTCTGAACAACTCACTTGAAACGTTCGGCAAGAGAAGAAGAGCTTCAAGTTCATGAATGATGTTGTCAAGCAAGTTTCATGGACACTGTGTCTTCTTCCATGCCGGGTAAGCCACGTTCGCTTTTTCTTTATATAATTCCAATATCAACTTCTATGTACTTTCTCTTTGTTTATTTTAGTTATTTTAATTTCTTAATTTTTTATAAATCACTTGATAATTTTATTAACAAAAAAATAACAATTGAATTTTTTTATATAAGTGAAAGACTGAAAGAGTTTGACAAAATTATGTTATAGAGAAAAAAATTATCTAATTAGTACTAAATTATACATAAAAATCAAATTAATACAACTAAGTTTAATTTAATAAGGTAATTGTTAAGCTTATGTTTAGAGCGAAGATTATAGTGGCAACTTCAAGACCACGACATACTTTTGGACCAAAAAGAAAAAAGACCAAGAATTGTTCGGAAAAAAGTTATTATTGTCTGGAAAAGAACTTTTCCAAGTGCAGAGTGGTTCAAGAAGTAACCCCAGTGTAATTACTTGTAAGTGAAACTCCTAAAAAGAAGTTTCTTTATTGGTTTAATAAGTTTTGACTATTACAATTACAGGATTGATTCCAAACGATGTGAGACATATATTACACAGTAATCTGAGATCATGGAGGGATAACGATTTTTCGAAAGTTCTCTTGGGAATCTTCTTCGCCATGCGGTGGTGGGAAGAAATATATTTTTTTAAAAAAATAATTTTTTAATATGAACGGCAAAAAATACATTCTATATCAAAATATCTATAGTAAAATTTCTCTTTATATTTATTTGTTAATAATATTTTAATAATTTTAATACACAAACCCTTTTTTTAACAAAATTTATATTAAAAAACTAATTTTTTTTCTTTTTCCTAATTTTGCAAGGAATCTACCACAATATATATATACATATATTGTAAAACAAAATGAACAAATGATTTTGTGAGGGAAAACGCTTCTGTAAGATGATAGAAGCGGTTATAGATTACCATTTATATACACTTACAATATAAAATTTGAATATTAATTACATAATGATTAAACAAAATAACCGTTGGTTAATAATCACTCAAGATTTTGATTTGAAGCCTTAATGGTTGATTGCATCTTGCTATTATCTTGGAGATCAATTGCTGGATTTTTGTTGGAGTCAATTAATTCTGATTTGCTGTGATTTTGAAAATCAAATGCCTTGCTTGAATCGCGGACAACATTTAAATTTGATAATCTTTGACATTTATCAAATGCTTTTACACGGCATTTTTAAGATGGAAAATGCCAGCTCGACCTGGAAAATGCTAGGGAGGAACCGACCCTTAGCAGGCGCCGGCCGACCAAAGGTTGATCCTGGCGTGGCACATGCCGCGTCTAATAGATTTCTTTTCTCTTTTAGGGTAAATTTGTTATTTAATCTTTTTTTTTTAACCATTCAAATTCATTTTAGTCCATTATTATTTTTAATTAAAAACAATTTAAATTAATCTTGTTAGGCTTTAAAATTTTTAAGGAGTAAAGGTTTAGTATTTAAATTTTCTTAGAATTTAGCCAACGACCTAAATTGTTTAGTGATCATCTCTCTATATTGGAAGTAAGAAATTTTAAATTCGAATCACATGACATGCGGGTAGGGTGTGATAAGGGATGGGAGATGGTTGCTTCCCATTGTGTAACAAACATAAATTTTTTTTTCTTAGAATTTAGTATTTGGAATTTTGTAATCTCTGCTTAGAGCAAGATTAATGATGTATTTATTTTACTTTTTTTTATCAATATTAATTTATATAAAAAAAAAGTTAATCTTAGTTTTATTAATTATTTAATTAAATCATTTCACATAGCTTTGATCTTAAAATAAAGTTTATTTTTATAATTTTTATACAAATTAATAATAAAAAGATGGAATAAATATATTTTTGAAATGTGCCCTAAGAGTATAGGTTAAAAAAAACTTTTAATATTTAAGGTGTTAGGATTTAAATTATTTGGGTTTTATATCTTATGATGCTAAAGTTTATATTTTTTAAGTTGAAAATTTTATAATATTAGGGTTTAGATTTTTTTTTAAAAAAAAATTAATGTTTAACATGTTAAGATTTAGATTTTTGAAGTTTAGAGTTTAATATTTAAAATTTTAAGCATTTAATATAAAAATTATAAATTTTAGATTTAAAAAATAATAATAAAATTTTAGGGACCAATTGGGTTGGGGAAAGATTGATCCCTAATGCATTACGCACTTTTAATATAAAGTTGGGGAAACTCTTAGAATCATCACAAGAGCGTTCTCCCTAGAAAAGGAGGGCAGTAGAACTCCAGCAGCTGCTCCCCTCCTCCCTTTGCCATGAGAAATGGGCCAAATAAGGATTTTAAT